TACTGTGAATACACAGCCTTTGCTTTCATTACTCAACTTTCAACTCAATCTGTATGTAACTTGTAACCACATCATTTTTTGGTTTATTAGCTTCTTGATATTGTGTATCATTCATACACTATATAATAGAAAATTACATTGTTGAGAATACACTGGGATGCACACTTTAAGGTAAGACACCCATAACTTCCCCCTACTTAAACTCCACTCCTCCCATCACCACTGAGCAAGCCACTCTATCAGTAAATGCTAATCTCCTAATTAACAAGCTAATTAGGTAATTATGGCTTTGCAGAAGGATGCCTAAATGAAATATGACAACACAGTCACTGGTTTCAGAGACACCTGTGGGTCATTTTTGGCTGTCACTGTAAAAAAGCGTAATATCAATTTCAGCGGATGACAAAGTGTTATCTTTCCACTTTCATGTACAGTTTGCGGTGGGGTGTGCAGGGGTGACAACCCGTTCACTCTTCAAAGACTTAATTCTTTTAGAAAAGATGAGCATATTATGGGATAGGAGGGGTGTCTGTTTGTTTTAGAACTGTCAATTAAATCTGTCATAAGTGGAAGATTTTATCACTAATTGATGCACATGTACATGAAGATGTGATACATAATTAAGCATGAATCCATTAGGCAGGAGTCTACTCCATACATTTTCAAATTTTACTCTCAGTAATTTAACATTTTTCTGCTCAGTGAAAAAGGCATAGCAACACACTGAGAAACAAACTTTCCTGTTATTGTGATATTTATGCTTTTTTTTACTTGTATTTTGATTTTTTTTCAAATTTCTTCAGCAAAATAGTAGATAGGTTAAAATTATTGGCACATAGTTAACTACAATGTCATTTTTAACATTGTTCCTCATCATGAAATGTGGGTGTGAGAAAGAAGGGACCAACACCATTAAGGGAGAATTCCGCCAATTTTTCAAATTTTTAGCACAGTTAAATCGTTAAGTTGAAGTCTTTTAGAGTGGTTTGAGGGAAATGGAGAAGCTTATAAAGTGAGAATTGCTCACAGTGGTGGTGACAGGAGCCAGATATCTTAAGTGTTAAATTTTTATTAAAAGGTACTTCCTAAAAAGTTAGCACCCAGATTGGTTATGAATGTTTTGCATTATGCCTGAGACATTGTTTTGTTTTGGCCTAAAATGTATTTTTTAAATATATTCACGGTGGAGAGGTACATTCATGGGATTGTAATTATTTTGTTTATTTTTTTTTTAACCATTGTACATAAAAACTCAGAAGATATATGTGGTTGTTTTGGATAATAATGTTTCTACATTTGTGTTTTTTACAAGCCGCCTGCTTCCTATCACCACAACTGTAAAGAAATTCAACCTGGTTTGTTTCTCTATAATGCAGCATTTCACATCAAACATTCTGAATGACGTAGTTTACATCTCAATGATTGTTTTATGTAGACATTTAAAAAAAAATGGGGGTATTCCCCTTTGGGCAAAGCATATTAATGGGGCACTTGATACAAAAGAAGATTTTTGGAATGTTTACTTTGTAAAACAGTATTCAATAGCCAGAGCCATTTTTCTTTAATGTTAGTAACTAAAAAGAAGCAAAAACATTACATCAGTAGTCAACAAACAACAGCAACATTTTCTTATGTTAACATATGTCTGTGTTAAGTAGCAACTAATCCCACATCTATATGAGGACGTAAGAGAATGTTATGTATACCTTAGTGTAGGCAATCAGTTCCAAACTAAGCAACACCATATCAGCTGATACTTACATTGTATTGGTCATAAATCAACAGGAATCTTTTACTACACTGACACTTCTTCCTGTCTCCTCAGCAGTTTGCAAAGATAATTTGGGGTGATGAGTTATAAGCACTTCATAATGCCAAACACGCACTTGTCATTATGTCATTATGTAAACATAGTATTATGAAACAAAAATCTTTTTTTTCCCCATTTTTTATACTTATTCCCAAGATTTGCTGTCATGGTTGTGGAGATGAATTATGTTGACACATGGCTGGAAACAATGGTGAAAAGGCATGCAATGTAATGCAATGAAGAATCATGCGCTGCACCGGAGGAGAGGATGTGGAGCTGTTCCTTTGAGCCCTGTCTGACAGCTATGCAGTGCGACTTGACAGCTCAGTATTGCAATGATAAATGCAGTAGGTCTGGGACTTCCATTCACTAAACTCAGGAGTGTGTTGGGTTGATACTTCAAGGTCAAGTGAATAAGAACGAGGAGAACCACACAGCTTGCTAGAGAGAGAGAGAGAGAGAGAGAGAGAGACAGAGAGAGAGAGAGACAGAGAGAAAGACAGAGCTTCTTGTTTGCTTTCTTGCTTCTGCATAGACTCGACCGTCTTGAGAGTCTTCCAGCATAAAGTACTTTAATATTCAACAACCAGTTTCAACAAGTTCATTTTTTTAATTTATGTATTTTTTGGAAGAAGTGTATGATATTAGGCTGATTTTAGTAAGCACTGACTGCCGAGTGTTGCTATCAAAGACGTTTCATTCCTTTTATCAAAGATTAACCATTCAAAAGTTTGTCAGATTCATTACTGCTGTTATTTTATTTAATAATAACTTAAAGTGTGGACTGAAATACTTTAAGCTTGACACTATAAGGTATTTAAGGTATTTTATTTAACATTAAATTTTTTAGAGAGGAAAAACAATAATGCAATAATATACAGTGTATACAATATACAATTTACAGCGATCCACTCATCCCTGAAGAGAGATCTATCTTGATATTTGTTCATTAGTTTTTAAATATATTGTTTTCAGGATGTTTTCAAGCTCAATGTTACATGGCTTTCCCAGGAAATTATAGAATAATCCATAGTTGTAATCACAAGTAATTCTTTCTACTAATTAATTGATGCCTATGAAATTGTAGAGTAATAACATCATAAAAGAATCATACATATACCTGCATCAAAATTGTGTTTTTATTCAGCAAAATAGTGAATACAAACTTTGGAATGGTGGTGTACCTCCTTTAATACAGTGTTTATAATGGTACATATTCATTTAAATACTGAGACTAGTACCCTTTGTAGCTACAACTCCTGCAATACAAATACAAACAAAAGAGTTACAAATCCAGGAAGTGTAGTGTGTTACAATTTGAGATGAGCATCTCAGTTTTTTTTTTTGTTTGTTTGTTTTTGAGATGACTACAAGGGGCACATTACCATAAGTTATATGTGCTCTACCACTCATTAAACTCATCAGTTATTAAGTATAGCATAATGAATCTCACTGTCTCTTCATAAATCAATAGGCAATTGCTTTAATTCATTGCTTTTATTTAAAATATAACAAGCTGTAGTGTATTTCACAGCATTGTATTTCAAATTGTAGACCAACAAAATGAAACATCAGAGATTTTTACTTCTTTTTCTATCCTTTCACCATGTATACAGTATTCTTTTCAGTCCACTGGTGATGAAGTAATGAATACAAAACAAGACTTCTGCAGCTTCAGGCTTTCTTGCATTTCCATTTAAAAGCTTTTCTTTGTTTATTTTATTCTCCTATGGCTAATCCCAGAGGAAGTTTTGATTTTCTGCATATCTGATTCTTTGCTCTTTAATTACCCAGCGTTAATTCCCCTTGTTAAGTGAGTGTGTGATAAAGGCAGGCCTACAGGGCCTCAGAGCCGTAGCGTACTCGGTGAATCCCCATGCCACTTTCACATATTTGCAGTGCAGCGCCGTCACATGCTGCTGCATTCAGAGAGGTGTCTGATTGACTTTCTAACTGCACCCAAATTAACAGCTCTATTTCCTTAGTCTGTCTGCATCTCTCAGTCCTGGTAATTAGTCCCATCACAGCAGAGCCTGTCATGTCACAAGTGCAAGACTTGCTGCCTCCGAAGTGCACAAGTTTAGCTGTGATGCCAAAGCCTTCATCATTTGTATCTTAACACTAGGTAGCATGACAAAGTTACAGTTTGTTTTAAGAAAGTGGCTTTTTCTTTACAGTCCTAGAACCACTATATTGATTAACTGAAAAAAGGAGAACGAAATTACTTAAGTGTAATGTCATCATTTGCTGGTCAAAGCTTATTTTATTTAAATTTGATAAATAAAACATTTGTACGAATATGTGTGCAGGACGCATTTAAATACAAATAAATTAACTGAAGTGAGTTTAGACATTTGTAGTAGTATAAAAAACTTAGCACAAAGCACTTAATATATTACACATCTTTATGTTGAAGCCATGCTAGTCACACTGTGCTACACCTTTTAAAATTGGTTGCTCAAGGGTTCTTTAGAAAATGGAACCATATAGAAGCATGACAAATCAAAGAAAAATATAAATATGTAAATGGCTCTTTGCATGGTTAAATGGTTCCTCTCCATGATTAATAACCTGCTGTATGTGGTTATTTAAAGAACCTTTTTAAAATGTTTCTATATAGCACAAGTCATTACAAGTGATAGAACCTTTTTTTGGGACAGAAACGTTTTTGCTAAGAGTGTATGGTAAGCTGTTCGGTTGTATGTTGGGGCGGGGGGGGGGCAACAAATTCAGAGAAACATCTGAAACAGGTCCAACGGTACGACGGGTGTATTTAAAGGCAGCAAGAACGGGAACGCATCAGCATTCGCCTTTTGGACATTCATTTCGGTCGGGTGTTCATGCAGGAACCCCAGCACAGCCCCATTATGCGCGCGCCAGCAGCAAGCGCGGAAACGTCACTGTATCTCCTCGCAGTCTGCTACCATAGCAACTGCTGTGGAGCCCTGCGCAGCGCCGCCTGCTTGGGCAGTACGTGTCACCCGTGGCAACGACCAATCAGAAGTTGCTCTCACGCTGCACGGTACTGCGCTCCGCAGGCGGGCGTTCACACATAGTTCAGGCCTACCATTGGACGCTCGGGCACTCGCTCAAACAAAGGCGAAGCGAGGATTGGCCCAAAGCGTTTTAGCTCCAATATTATAAACATGTCCTCCGCTCGCCTACCCTGCTAGCCAGGCTTGGTAGAGGCGACCATAGCGTGCTATGGTGTGGAGAAACGAGGAGCTAGAGCAATCCATTATCAGTGTAGTATCAGCCAACATAAAACTTCGGGTATGTCTTTCGCGTGTTTTATTGCAAAACGCTCTCAGCGTCTATAATGTGACGGCATCTCGCTGCACGGGCGCGCTTTAAATGAGGCACAGGCAAAGTGGGACTTCAGCCTTTCTTTTTCGATGTTCTTCTTTCATCATTATCATCACTAGTATCATTAGTAGCGCGCTGGCATCTTGTTTTCGGGGTTCTAGCAAGAAGTGACAAGAATCTAGACCCCTCCTCTGCAGGGCGGAGCGTGCATTTTTATGTCGATTTTTGTAGCGTTTTTTTCTGTTCAGCTTCAGCTCTGACACGTCCACACTGAGTGAGTGGCATTGGCACATTGTCAATCGCTCACTACCGCTGCCATCAAACAACATAAAGCACACACAGCCCAAGAGCTCGCCTCATAAATTTGAGCAAGCAGATATTTTTGCGCATCGCTTTATGGCGTGTAATTAATTTTTTTTCGAGTTTCTCTGTTTCCCCCCACTCATCCTAAGAAAACTTTTTGTACATTTTATATTTTTGTACTGTCACCTTTATGCTGTATTTTTGCTGATGGTGCCAACCATTTATTTTATTCCTAGATCACATTTTTGGAAACTCTTCTGAAAGACAACATTTTGGTAACAGTTGTTTTGCGTTTCTTTCCTTTTTACATCGTTCATTCATTCAATTCGCGCTGTTATTATTATTTCCCCGGATCTTGTTTCTGCCAGTTTGCAGTGCGGATTCGTGCAAGTTTTGAAGAAGTGCAAACGGAGAAATTATACAAAGAAGACTACAAAACATAGACAAAAAATCCAGCCATCTCCAAGGAGCTTCAACAGTGTTTTGCGAAGAGAAAGTCAGTTTGACATGAAGGCTCGGACAATATTCAACGGGCAACCGCTGTCCCCTCGATGCTGAAGTTGAAATAAATAAGGCTGAGATTTCTCTAAAGGACATATTCGAAACGGAACTGGTGGACGGTTGAGATTTTTTCTTCCTGTTGTTGTGAGAAAGTGAAGCCTTTTGCCTAACAGTTCTGTCTCGGTTGTGGTCGCGGTTCATTCGCCTTGTTGCCGCGTACCCGCTTCGGAGACGAAACCATCTCGGCAGATGCTCCTCATATAGTCACGTAGCCTTTTTTGCATGTGCTCATTCCGCGTTTCTTTAGCTTCCTCGGTTACTGAGCAAGAAGCGCATTGATCGGGTTGCGGCGGACTATGGACGCGGAGCAGGCGCGGATCATGCAGACTCTCGGCGGCGTGAATTTGGCTGCTCACTCGGTGCAGGGAGGCATGGCACTGCCGCCTCCACATGGACACGACGGGACCGATGGGGACGGCAGGAAACAAGACATCGGTGACATTCTGCATCAGATCATGACCATAACAGACCAAAGTCTGGACGAGGCGCAAGCAAAGTTGGTGGATTTCTTTAAAATTGTTGATCGAGCGCTTGCGGTATAGATAAAATAACATTCACTTCGTAAATGCAGAGGTTTTATTTGCTTTGCCTTATAGATACCAGTACATATAATGTAGACAACCTTTTTTCTGTTATGTTTAAACTAGTACAACGTTAGCGCATACAGTTAGACTCTTTTTGTTTCTTCAGTCACCTGTCTATATGTATTTAAAACGTCCCAAAATAATCCTCAAATTAGAAGTAGGTTAAATTGTTTTCAGAGTTTGTAAACAGTAGACTATCCTTGCACTGCACATGTTCAGGATTATTATTCTTTAAAACACTTAATTAAAAGTTTCAGCATCACTGTCCCGTAGCCATTTCAGGACCTATCCTGCCCCGCATGACATTTTTTCTGCTTATGTAGGTCTATATGCTATTATTGATAAAACTAAAAATAGCATAAATAAACTATTTTAAAAATTAAACATGTAGTAGTTATTTGTAATCCAGCTTCTCTTTTGAGGTAATAAAGGATGTTGTTCCTAAAAGAAGAAAAAGCAAAACATTCGGTACACAATAATGTTGTATAAAATGACAAAAAAGAAAAAAAATCATTTATCATTTTAAGTGACTATATATCAATCTTGTGTCTTGTTCCAAACTGAAACAGGAAACACGGGCTGAACTGCCACAGAATGAAGCCTGCCCTCTTCAGCGTGCTCTGCGAGATCAAAGAGAAAACAGGTAAGAGTGTGCATTCTGTGAAAAAGGCCACTTATTCCACCCGCACGGCTCAAAAAGAGGCAAGTCCTGTGCCACTAAACCTTCACACACCGCCATCTTTATTAGTTGTCTTCTTTTCCCTCGGCGTTGCTCTGGTCGCCTCTGTTCCTCGGTCAGATGCTGCAAAGCTCAACGCGCAAAGAAAAGCACCGGTTAGCAGCTGAAGACCTGCTGGCTGCTACCGGCGGAGTGAGAAGGCAGTCTCCCGCTGCCTCATGGAGGCTAGCTCCTAGTTTCCGGGGGGGCTTACACGAGGCACGCTGCCGCTAGCCATTTGTTTATATCGCCTCATTCTCACATTGTTCCATTTGAACCCGAAAGAAAGAACGATTAAAAATTGCTGGGGTAGAATAGAGCGTCAGAGTGTTCTGTGTTTGTGTGCAAGTGTCCACATGTTCCGTGCTACTGTTTCTCCCTAGCCTGTTTGCTTAATTATAATTACCGCTAGCTTCATTGCATGTGTTGAAATGTGGTTGAGAGGGCAGTCCAGTTCCTGTGGTCTTTAGCCTAATTATATGTCCAATTTATAGGATAATTATTGGCACTATTGGCGGTCCTGCAGGTAATTATTGGCACCATTTTATTATGCAGGACGTCCACACTATGGATCTCCATACTGAATTCTGTTAACCTAATAGCAAATAGGAGCCAGTGTGCTCTAGTTGAGAAAATAGCAGGAAAAGTGCAGAAATAAGTTTTTTTGTTGTTGTTGTTGTTGGTTAATATGGCACTCTGTGCTTTCTGAAATTTTATTTGATATAGGTGTATTGTGAAGAAACTGTTACTGTATCTAAAAGCGCTCAACTGACCATTGAGAAAAAAAATGCCCACTTTGGTTACTCATAATTAATTTCTTATAGAAAAAAGGCAAAACTTGGAAAAGCATTCCTCTTGCGCAACTGCTTTACAGTGTATTAATGTCACAAATGTACACACGATCCACGTTTTCGCATCTGCCTAAATATTCTGTTCTTATTTTTCTGACATTTGACCATTCACTCAGTCTGCCTCGCCACATTGTAAATGAAGTTCAGCAACAGATTCAGCATCAATTCAGCACATGCGTTGCCAAGGCCATACTGTGTGCCCCTGTGTCATATATTAACATATGTCATTGTCTCACAAAAGACCGCATCAGTTCAGTAATATATCCAAAAGCAAGGGGATGTAATTTAATGTGCTTTTCCCCCACCATTCTGCATCTTGTATTATTAAAGTGACTGTGGACTTGCACATAATGCTGCGAGGATGTGTTCAAAAGTACACACATGTTGTGCAAAGAGAAGAATTGCTACATGACCCAGACAGGCATTTGGCATGGGATGGAAATTGCAGATGAATGAGGGGAGCGAATTAAGTCTTAGTCCTTAAGAAAGCTGGCTTTGCAGGTGGCCTGTGCATTTAATAAAACTGAACTTTGTAGCTTGTTCTAAACACCCTGTCATAAGCATGTTCTAAAAAATATCTTAAATTATTACACTACTGCATTCAGTTGTGTACTTTATTTTGACATATATTATTCAAAGCAATTTAAATTGAAGAAAGAATTTTCATTCAGATGTGGTGTTGTGGCATTTCTATGCGTCCAACTGTGTGTACCATTATGCCACAGTGTGGTTTTAGGCAGAATTGTGCTTTACCAGATTTGTGGACTTTGTGTGGCTTATAAGCAGAAGTGGCTCGGGGAAGATCATAAAACTTAATGAACTTCTAGGCCGCTGGAGCTCTCCGCCAGGGGAGGGCAAGGCCCTGCTCGGCTGCCCAGCCTGCTTGAGCTGTTCTTTATGCCTGTCCAGAGATAGAAGTGAATGCGAATGGTGAAGCAAAATGTTTGAAGTGTAGCTTTACAGCTTGTTGAAATTCCTTTAAACTTTGCAGATACAGAACAAGAGAGTGCCATGCATACCCCAAGAACAGCTTGTATTTTCATTAAAGCATATTTTAGTAATGTAAAAGGTTTTCATTCTAAGTGAAGCATATGTAACCTATTTTAACACCATGCTCCCTACATAATTGTATTTACAAGAAACATTTGTCATCCGCTATTTGTGGGCTTTCAATATTTTAAACCCACCTGTGGTTGTGGTGTGCGCTTCCATGTGTGCCTATTGTGTTACATTTAATACAATTATGTTCCATATTGTATTATATCTCTAATTAAATATACATACAGAATAGAGTCCCTAAGTATGCTAATTATTTAAATGAGCTTGTTTACCAGCTCAGTTGCTGTAATCCTTTTGATGCAGCCTGTTTTGAAGGGTTTCTTTTTTCTCCTTAGCACATCCAGGCTAATTCACTAACAAGCTTCTTTCTGCTAATTTCTTTCCTAACCCATAAGTGAACATATGCTTCGTGTTTGGCATTGTCTCCCGTTTTACAGTAGTAATTCCTTCTGCTGAGGAATGGCTGGGTGATTATATATAAGAATACTAAAAGAAGGAGTTGAAATGTATGGTGTTGATGGTTTGTGAGAAAGGTTTTAAGGATAATTTTAAAATAAATAACAGGCTTATGAAATAATAAGTAGTCTGACAGAGGTTATTGTTTGTGGTAGTGCAGTGATGTACTTGCTGCAGTGGTTCAGGGCTGTCTTGTCGTAAGAAGATGAGAAAAGCTTCTCTCTTTTTGAACAGAAAGCTTGTTTTTTCCTCATTGGCTTGTTGAAGGACATTGTCTCATCAGGGTGATAACGGAGGCGCAGATAAGCATTCTACTCTTGCTTCGCTTTTCTGCCCATTGCATTTTCTTTTCATTCTTTTGTTTTTCACTTACTGTCTCTTTGTCACATGCACACACATGAACATATAGTAAATGTACTGTCAAAGCTGTGTGTACATTTGTGTTTATGAACTTGTTGAGACATGACTTGAACGGTTGTTGTTGTATGATGTGGGGCTATAATCTGGGCTGTGTGTTTGTGTATCAGATTCTTGAAAATAGAAAAAATTGTGGCGTGTACAGAATTCGTCTTTAGAAATCGCCAGCGTGGAGATGAGTGTATATGTTGTATCAGCACATGTGGTAATGTTAGTTTGGACCAAAGACCATATAAATTTAAGGTAGATATGTTGTGTGTTAATTTTCTCTACTTAGAGCTTATGCTTAGATTGGGTTGTGTATTTTGATGTCTGTAGTACAGCGACTAGGTCTAAGAACTCCTTATTATATTTTTATTATTCAAGTAATTTAATCTTTTATCATGTTAAATAAATATAAAAATAATATAAAATAATATCTAATAGCAAAAGTAACAAATAACAGTGTGTGTGTGTGTGTATTTGTCATTTGCCTGTCAGTTTTTATATTTGTATTATATTACATTTTTATATTCTTATTACATTTTACTTTGTATATACAATTTTACATATACATTGATATACATTTGCAAGGACATATATCTGCATTTTATATTTTTTCTGGTCACACTTGAAAAAGTAGTAATTGTAAATAGCATTTTTGCAATAATGCCTGAATATATATTTAAATATTTGAGAAATTCATATTCCAGCCAGTGCTGAGAGACAAGTTCTGAAAAGATGAAGTATTCAGTGTTGCTCTTGAATCCGTTGTAATGGGGGCTGGAAGGTGAAATGCCTAAATCAAACCTGAAGTGTTTGCATTGTAACTATGTAAACAGTGAGAATGAAAAAAAGCTATGTATGTACATCTGTTTGGAAAAGAGTGGAAGAAAGATGTGTGTGTGTGTGTGTGTGTGTGTGTGTGTGTGTGTGTGTGTGTGTTGGGAGTTGGTTATGCGTGCGTGTGTCTAGGCCTTTTTATGTGTATCCATGCATTTTCAGGAAGGAGTATTTGTATGTAAGACTTTTTTCTTGTATGTGCTGCTCTTAATTGTAGCTATTAAACTCACATAACATACTCCTCTGCTGGCAGTGTAATTGTAATGTCACCATCGCTGGCTGTGTAAGAATGCACGGGAGGCTCACAATTGCAGCCCGTAACCTGTGGGGGGGGTTCAGTGGATCTCCGCTTCCACCTCCTCTTCTTACTTATCCGTGCTTGGCATCATTCAGCTGGTCTGATGGCCCTTTTAGACTGGCCTGTATTGGAGCACACCACGACCCTTTCACTGCTCCCTGTGGCATCATCTACCCCTGCCTGATTCAACACGGCTCAAACAGCACACAGTCCAGTGGCGCTAAGCCTGCCAGAATCACACCAGCACAGCCATATTTTCATTGTTTCCTGACCGTACACAGGCAACTTGATTTGTGCAGTACAACAAGTCATGTAGTCTAAACTAGAGTTACAGAAAGATGCTGTATGCTCTATCACTCCAGGCCAGATAAAATTTTGATGCTGCATGAAAGAAAACATTAACCTTGATTAGTTGTAGTTTAATGCTAAAATTTGCCAAACGTGGGAAAAAAGTTCCCTGTGTTGTAAAAAGGATAGTTGAGTTACTAGATTTAGGATGTTATTGGGAGCCCAGGGCACTATGGAGAGGAGACCGGGCACGTAAAAAACTGTAGTCTTCTCTCCGTTTCAAGCAGTAGTCAGTGTTGTCTGGGTGGTGTGGGAGAGGGAGAGAGCGAGAGAGAGAGAGCAGATAAATGGATGGAAGCGTTTTGCAATGCAAAGCTGTATGTAGTGTAGGGGAGCTTTCTTGGCACTCCACTAACTGCTTTTGGAGGCCCTGAGCAGATTTCCCCCTTGCTAAAGCCCTAGAAGTATTAATTCACTTTGATATGCTAATTAGAGGGCATTATGCAAGAAATGAGATTAAGTGGCAGCATGAAGTCATTTGCCTGTCAGTAAATTGAGTGTTTTTAGCAGGAGGGGTTTGTTTTTTTTCCTCTCTCTCTCCACTTTCTCTCGCTTTTTGCATTTAAATGAATCAAATGAAGGGGATGTGGCAGAAATGCTTGAAATTATTTTGCTTCTGTACAGCCTTCCTTGAATTTTTATCATTTATGTGTGCTTTTTCTTTTTTCATTGCA